AGGTGGTTTACCTGAAGCTTCTGGGCCATATCCACACCATTAGGGAAAAGCATAGTAGCCCCTTACATTAAAGGAAGGGGGTCATATCTCTATGCCCAGAAACCACCAGGCTGCAATTAGGGATTCTGCTATTAAGCTCCCAAGGCAAAGGGAAGTACTCACCGCCTGTTTTCTTCCCCTTTTTGCCACAGCCACAGGGCTCACTTTCCTAGTCTCAGGGTCCACATAAGAGGAGGATAGCAGCCAAATTCACCCCTTTTACCACAGTAGAGTTGCAATAACCACAGCATCTACCAAATTAAGAGAAAGCTGTGAAAGGTGATTTAGCAGAAGCTTCCGGGCTATTTGTCTCCGCACCATTAGGGAGAAATATAGTAGCACCCTGCATTAAGGAAGGAGGTTTCTATCAATGCCCAGAAACTAGGGATGCACCGAAATTCCGGTGGCCGAAATGTTTTGGCCGAAAACACCCCTTTCGGCTGTCGGACAAAATAAAAAAAAAAAAAAAAAGCTCAGATACATGTGCCGAAAAACCCACCTCTCAAAACCGCCTGCCCGCTGGCTGCTGCTCGGTAGTTCAGTCTTACCTGAGAAACCATCAATCCCGGCACTGGGCATAGAGATGTGTGAAGGAAAGATGGCTGCCACACATATCTATGCCCTTGGAGGACCGGAGCAATGTCACTTCCGGTTCCGGCCATTTTTTTTTTTTAAAAAGTACTAGATTAATGCTTTATTTGATCTAATGCTTAACATTGCAGAGGAGAGATGTGGGGTCTTATTGACCACATATCTCCCCATAAAGAGGACCTGTTACTAATTATTTCTATCGTAAGGGATGCGTGCATTTCTTGTGATAACATTATTTATTTCAGGTACCTATATAGCGCAGTCAATTTACACAGCGCTTTACATATATATTGTACATTCACATCAGTCCCTAACCCTCAAGGGACGTTCAATCTAAAGTACAATAAAAGTGATTACAATTTTTTTTTTTTTTTAAAGGAACAGTGCGAAAAAAAAACAAAAAAAAAAAACACACCATTAAATAATTTAACAAAAGTTTAAAAGCGCCCCCTTCCTCGCACGTAGTGCTGAACGCATACATAGGCCATTTCCACATATGTAAACGGTGTTCAAAGCACACGTGTGGAGGTATCGCCACGAACGTCACAGCAATAATTCTCACACTAGACCTCCTCTGTAACTTTACACTGCTAACCTGTAGAAATTTTTAAGGATCACCCATGGAGATTTTTAAGTATTGCAGTTTCATACCATTCCATGAACGTGCGCAATTTTAAAGAATTTTTACATGTTGGGTATCTATTTACTCGCCGTAACATCCTCTTACATGCTTTACAAAACAATAGGGGGTATATATATTTTTTTAAATCAAAGTGTATTTGTTTCCAAAAAATATATATTCATTTTTAAAAACTGCGCATTTCAGTTTTCAGCCAAGTGCATTTTGAATTTTTGGAACCAGAATTTTCATTTCGGTGCACCACTACCAGAAACCACCTGGCTGTTGTCATTAGAGATTCTGCTGTTAAGCTCCCAAGGCAAAAGGGAAGTACTCACCACCTGTGTTCTTCTGCCTTTTGCCACAGCAGTCGCTTATCCATCTGCGGGGGTACAGAGGAAAATAGCAGCCAGTTTAACCCCTCCAAGCTGCTGTCCTTCCTAGAAGGCTGCCAAGTTAGGCCATGTGTCCCACACTATACCCGCAGCACACTCATACCTCTCCAGGAACCCAAACTTTCCCAAAAGAAAGGAAGGTAAGGGGACATGGCCTTGAAATCCAGGGGTTGCTAGCAGATAAGAGACTCCCTCCCTTAAACGGTCACAAGGGAGAGAGAGACTTGCACAATCTGCTGCAGCGGCAGAACATACTACCCTGTGTCCAGATCGCTACTGTACATCCAGGACAACCTGAGAGACACTTGGCCTGCAGGATAGTTCAGCTCCAGCCTCCCTATGCCTGCCTCACAGGGGTAACATCTGAACCTCCCTGGTCTTCTGGTCAGTGAAAACAACAAACATTCTGCTTTGTAGGGGGAAACATAATCAATACTGAAGATCAAGGTGAAGGGTGGGGACTTAACTGCCAATTGATTGTGTTTCCTGTAGGTGTGCTGTCTTGGAAGGTGAGAGAAGAAAACTGAGTTTTCAGTTTAGAATTATACTTACTTTTAAGAATCTATACTACATGCTTAAAGTAATATTAAACCCTCAGCTGTTTTTTTTAGCTTAACAAATTAAGCATAATAAAATAAACATTTCCCAGTAAATTAGTTGTTAAAATTCTTACTCCAGCATTTGCAGTTGACAATTTGCAATGCTGCTTTGCAAATTAGCTCCTGCAGCATTTGCAGTGAAGCTTCTCTGAACTTCTGTTCTTCATAGATTAGCAGTGGACAGCGCACACTCAAGTTAGTCTTTAGCCTGAAAAAGGGCTAGGAGAGACTTATGTAAGCTTGACCCACCTGCACATGTTCTGCTGTGGGATTAATCTGACAGCACAGCTTGAACCCATACATGAGCAGTAGGGAGCCAGAAGTCACAGTCGGCTCACAGTGCCAAGATAGCAGGGATCTAAAGAACTGGCTCCAGGGAAGACAGCATTGGACTCCTGGACTGGCGAGTGTCTGTTTCTTAAGTAGCCGTAATATTTGTAGCAGCTGACTTAATTAAAAAAAAAAAAAAAAAAAAAAATTTAGACTAAGAATTTCTTTTTAAGGCCTTGTGAAAAAATCCAATCTCTCCATTTATTCAAACAGAGAAATAAGTAAATGGATGAATGCATACCAATAAACTGACATTAGTTTAAAAATATTTAAAATACACTATTTAATACAAAGTACACAAAATGGCATAGCTATACAAACATTTGAAGTGATGCATAAAAATAAGGTTTTACAAAAAAAAAAAGAAAAAAAGTCCATTCTCCAAAACACAATTCTGGTTAAAACAAAATGCTTCATAATACAATTTCACTCCATTAACTTTAAATAATAAAGGCTTGCAAAACAGAGACCGTACAATGCAAACATTTTGTCCATTGTTCAAATACTTCAAATGTCAGAAGCAAACAAAAGGAAACACAACAACTGACACAATTAAGCTCTGATAATTTTGTTTAGTATTGCAAGTATAGTGATTTCCAGGCCTGATTTGAAGACCTAATACTCTAAGTGCACTCTTGATTGCTCTTGGATTAATTTGCCATGTTCTCCGATGCCTGAAAAGAACATAAAAACAAACAAGGTCACACTCCTGCAACTACATTACACTATCTCCAGTGAGATATCCCTATACCATCAGCTATGTAAACAGCATTTAAAGTCACATTTCCCAACTCTTTCTAATGAAGGTGATTTTCTGCTCGTTTTACTTGATGCCCTCTGGTGGATTTCCATACAATTAAACAATAAAGAATGTAGAACCAGTAATGCAGGATACACAACTTTAAAGTGGTTATAAAGGCTGAAGGTTTTTAGCTTCATGCATTCTATGTATGAAGGTAAAAAAAAAAAAAAAAAATCTTGTGTGTGCTGCTTCCCCCACAGCCCCTCTAGAACTCACTTCCAGAGATGTGCAAAGGAACCTCAGCTGTCATGGGTCTCTCTCGCCGAGCAAGCACACACAAGCTTGCTATTGGGGGCACTGGTCAAGGAGCATCAGCAGAGGACCCAAGAATAAGTGGATCGGAGCTGCTCTGTGCAAAACCATTACACAGAATGGGTAAGTATGGCATGTTTGTTATTTTAAAAAAAAAACACACACACTCTTTAATATCTCTTTTAGCAGTCAGCCCATCAGCTCTTCCACCTGTGGAGAAAGGGTTGGATTTCACTGAAGACCTGTAGACAGATAGAGCTCTTCCCCATTCTTCCATGAAGAAGCCTGCTTTGTTATGGTTTGCTCCTTAAAGTGGATATTCATCCTCCCCACTCACTGTCATTCCACTCCTCTTTTACAACTTTTTTTTTTTTCACTGTTTTCACGGAAAATATCCCCATATTTCTTGCAAGATATTCTACCGTGTAGATGATGTGTTATCTGGCTGTCTCTTCCTGTTCCTTGTAGTTGGCGCCCTAATGAGGCACCATGGTGCATGCGCATCATTAGGTTGGCAGCTACAGCTAACCCGAAAAGACCGATGGCCTCCTGATGGCGTTACAGAAGATAGCACAGTGGATCCCTACAGAACACTGCTAGATCACTGGATGTGCAAGTATGTTTTTTGTGGATAGCCCAGCGTAAAAGGTAATGGGGGGTGGGGTGAAGTTCATCTTATGCCCCTGTTCACACTAGTGCATTTTCTCCTGTATTTGCTGTCACTCTGCACTGCAGGACAATATAAGTTACATTATTCAACTGCAGATTGATGCAAAAATGTTACTCAAAATAACAGTAAAAAATACATATAAATTCCCAAATAATTACTGGCTCTCTTGCCTGTCCTTAGTCTCAGTACTCCAGCTGCACTCTGCATAATGTAAAACAAATGATAAATCCAACAGAAAGAATAAGACCCTTGTACTGGCAGCAGCAGATAAACGGAAATGGAAACTCAGGTACAAAGATTGGCTCAATGGGAGTCCCTCAAATAGACAGCAGACAGTGGACTAACACTTTAAGTGGTTAAATTCTAAGACTGAATAATTTGTATTTGCATTCTTTTCCACGGGGATTATTGAGGGGACATCTTTTAAAAATATTGCTGCTTAAACACAGTAAAGCTAATTAACTGGTTCATTTATATGCATAATGTCTGAGCCATTAATGAATGCTGCTGTGGTCAAACACAGATATCCTAGTAAAAGCCATGCACAGTTAAGCCTCCGAGAGAACTGGTGTTTAGAAAAAAACATTGAACTATAAAAGAATGCCTGCAGTATACTAAGGGCACATCTTAGAAACGTAGACATTTTATGGGTAAATTATAGACTTTATAACTGTACCACAGCTTTCATAGTTTCACATGGATATCAGGACACACAAATACTAATCTCATACTGCTGGTCTGAATAATCACTTGCCTTCAGTGCCTCGGTCGCTCTGCGCAGCTCTTTTATAACAGAAGACAAAGCCTCTGGATTAATTCCTTGCTCACAGAGTCTTACACATATCGATAGAGTCTCCATATCCAAACCTGTGTTCAGAAGCCTGGAGATTTCAAGTAGAACTGGCAGAAGAAGAGAAAAAAAAGTTATGGGCGTTTCATTAGCACATTGGCACCAGGCTGCTTTATATCATTGTAAGCACAATATCCAATTTTTTTCCTCTAAAGTTGTTGTAAAGGCTCAAGGTTTCTTACCGTAAAAAACCCTCCTGTGTGCAGCACTTCCCCCCATACTTACCTAAGCCCCACCACAATCTGTCGGGATGCTCACAGCCAGTGAGCCATTAAAGAGAGCGGGGGGGCAAGCCGCAGCTCTGTGTATGAACAGACACACAGGGAAGTGGCTCATGAGTGAGCCTGCTTAGGTGCCCCCCATAGCAAGCTGCTTGCAGTGGGGCACTTGGCAGGAGGAAGGGGCCAGGAGCTCTGGCGGGAGACCCAAGAAGAAGGGGCTGTGGGGGAAAGCAGCACACAGGTTTTTATTATCTTCATGAATAGAATCCATGAAGGTTAAAAAAAACAAAACAAAAAAACAACACATTCAGGCTTTACAACATCTTTAGGTAATAATTGTGGTGGACTTTATATGGTCATTAAAGTGTTACTAAACCCAGGACCCTGCCAGTCACTATATCTGGTCTCCCACAGCACACAGAACATGGAAATGCAACTATTTTAGTAAATATAAACTGCTAAATACCTTTTCTCCTCAGCAGTATAGAACAGTCTTGTGACATCTATCAGTGTCCAGCGAAGCACTGGTTAATCTTGTAGGAGTTTTCATTCTACTCTGACTGTCCTATGAGGCAGCATGACCCCTGACCCTCTGCATGTGATCAGCACAGGGCCAATTAGCACTGTCCAGACACCCTCCCAAATAAAAAAACAAAACAAAAAACACTATCAATACACACTAAACTGAACATGTGCAGAGTGCCTCCTAGAGCTCTGTACAATCAGCAGACAGATGGGGACAATAGAAGGGGAGGATCAGAGAAAACAGGATCACACAGCCTTTTTACGCAATGTGGCGGATTAACCCCTTAGGTCCCACAGTGAGTATAACACGCATGCTTTACTTCATATACAGAATGATTTTACTGATGTGGGTTTATCAACACTTTAGTAGGACCCTAAAGCAGAACTCCAGGTGGAATTTCCCAACTTTTTATTTTTCGTTGGCCGAGATGGCAGATCTTGATTTTGCACATGGAGTGAACTGGAACCGGGCATGCTGCTGGGTGGGACGGCTTGTTGGGGCTGAGGTCTTCGATGTGTGTGGCATGCTGTTTGGGCTGGACTCTGCTCACCTCCAGCCCCACAAGGAGAGGCGGTGGTGAGGAGGAGAGATGGGCACAGTGTGCATGGACTGGCTGATGTAGAAAGAGAGGAGTGTGAGGGAACCTTTCTGCAAGGCGGTGGTGGGTCTGCTGGGGGAGGGTGCACAGGGGTACCGATGTGTGGAAAGGAAGAAAGAAAAACTTTGAATCTACTGCGGGTAAGCAGCAGAGCTGGAGCGTGTGTGATATTACACATACACACATACCCAGAGACGTTGCAGTTGATGTGGGAGCCCAGGCAGATCAAAAAGGAGCAAATCTGTCCCAGATCCACCGTTCCCCAGGGCACAGCAGGCGAACATACACTAGAACACCTCCACCTCGTCAAGCTCCTGCAGGGAGTACTGCCAGTTCGCCTGCTCCGTCAGGTGGAGGCCACACAGGCTGCTGGGTCCCCACTTCACCCCCCGCCGACCCCTTTGCCTCCCACACTGTGTGCGCACCAGGAGAAGGCCAGCTTGGTGGCGATGTGGCTCGGGCATCCTTGGACCCTGCTCAGGCTTTGGGGGAAGGTATTAGCAGCCGCCTGAGGAGAGGAACCTGGCCACCCCTGACTATGTCACTCACACAGGGCTGGACATCGGACTCCAGCCCAACTTACTGCCTGCTTCCAGGAAAACTATGGAGACCAGCAAGGGGAGAGAAAGATTGAACAGCTCTGCTGAGCAGCCACATGGACAAGCCAGGACACCTTCTTGAGTCACTACAGGGTCTGACCTGCGCCTAGAGCTGCATGTCTGGGACATTGGGAGTTGCCAGCGTTGAGTAGGCTGACCGGTACCCAGGCGTTAGACCGTGATTTCTGGTCGCCCTGGCGCCTGGGATTTGTCGAGCCCTGCCTTAAAGTGTCTGTAAAGGCTCAAGGTTTTTCTATCTTGATACATTCTATGCATGAAGGTTAAAAAAAAAACCCTTCACTGTGCTGCATCCCCCCCCCAACACTCACCTAACTCCCCTCTAGATCCAGTGATGTGCACTGGTCTCGGCTATTCCGGGACTCCCTATTCTCATTGGCTCCGGCTGCTGTCAATCACAGCCAGTGAGCCAATGAAAAGAGAGAGGGGGCTTGGCCGAGCCACGCTCCATGTGTGAATGGACGCACAAAGCAACACTTGCCCCCATAGCAAGCTGCTTGCTGTGGGGGCACCTGACGGGGGGGGGGGGGGGGGGCCAGGAGACCCTGCGGGGGGACCTGAGAAGAGGAGGATCCAAGCTGCTCTGTGAAAAACCAGTGCACACAGCAGGTAAGTATAACATGTGAGAAAAAAAAAATGTAAGCGTTTAGTATCACTTTAAAGTGATAGTGTAACTGGTACTTGTTCTAAAGATTGGTGCACTTACTGGTAACAGTGTTTCTGGGAAATCTTTCAGGACGGAACACCTGAGATGACTAGCTCCACCTGACAGGAAACACAATTGACAGAGTTTAAATTCCCCCTCCCTTTCCACGCCTCCTCAGTTTTTTTATTGTGGTTCCCTGCATGCCAAACTTTTTTATTTTATTTTATTATTTTACTATTTTATTATTTTACTCACTTACCCCCACTCCAGGGGTCCCAGTGCATTGGAGCTTCCCAGGCACTGGGGAGGTGTCCCCGGGGGGGGTGTCCCCAGAGACAAGCATCCTTCCTCCCTTTTCCGAGGCAGCGGGGAGACACGTCCAGGAGAGGACCGGGCCGAGAGGTATGGGACTGCTGGATGGCATGTGAATCGAGCGGTGTGCCCCTGTAGGTGAACGGGGCGGCTGCAGTGGAGTCAGCTACTAGTCCTGCCAGAAAGCAGGTAGAGAGCCAAGGGTACGTGGGCGCAGGACCGGAAGTGGGAGAGAGGTTGTGGACCAAGCCTCATTCACAGTAGACTTCCTCAGTTTAAATTTCCCGCCCTTTCCTCCCCTCAGCACACGAAAGGTACTCTGCCTAAATTTAATCAACAAGTGTAAGTGTATCTGGCACTTTTCTCTAGTCATCTTCCAGGACGGCACACCCGAAACGAGAAGCAAGGAACTAAGGCCAAACTTAGGGCGGGACTACTGCCTGTAATACTTTCCTGCTGAATGTCAGGTCCTGTGGTGACAACAGTTCTACCATGTAGTGTCTCACGAAGGTGTCCTGGCTTGTCCATGTGGCTGCTTGGCAAATCTGTTCAATCGATGCTCCGGCCCACACCGCCCAAGAGGTTGCCAGCAATCTAGTAGAGTGAGCCCTCAAGTGTAAAGGAACTGAAACCCCTGACTGCTCATAAGCTAAGGAGATGGCTTGTCTGATCCATCTAGTTATTGTTGGTTTAGATCAGAGGTCTCCAAACTTTTCAAACAAAGGGCTGACTACTGTCATGACTTTAAGGAGGCCGGATTATGGCCGGTGGGGGTAAAAAATGTCTTGGGCCCAGCATCAGTGAGAATATAATATGGCCTCAGTGTTGGTGGTCAGTAGGAGGAGAAGTAGTACCTCATCATTGGTATTAGTAGGAGAAATAGTCCCACATCACTGGTATCAGTGGAAGAGAAATAGTGACCTATTGTTGGTGTCAATTGGAGGAGTGCTTCATATCATTGGAAGGAAGTGTTCCAAGGTTCAGGTAATGGCTAACAAAGGGCCACATCCGGCCCTCGGGCCACAGTTTGGAGACCCCTGGTTTAGATGCTTGCTGTCCCATCCTCGGCTGCTAAGCAAAATCAAAAGGTGACTTAGCTTCCTGAAGCCACTTACTCAATCCAAATATGTCAGCAAACACCATCTGACATCTAGAAAATGAAAACTCTTTTCTCGCTCATTCTTAGGGTTTTGACAAAAGGATGGTGAGACAATCTCTTGTGTCATATGAAATCGTGATGCCACCTTTGGAAAATAAAGATAATCCTGTCTAAGCACTTCCCTGTCCTCTAATACCACCAGGAAGGGTTCCTTGATCGACGGGCTCTGAAGGTCGCCTATCCTCCTTGCCGTTGTGATGGCTAACAGGAAGGAAAACTTAAAAATTAACATCCTAACCAAATCTGTGCCACTGGCTCAAATGGTGGCTTGGTTAAGGCCTCTAACACCAGGGTTAGATCCCAAGCAGGAAACCGATGTACCTCAATGGGGGTTACTCTTTCCCTGGCCCCCAGAAACCTCTTAATTAGGGGCTCTGATGCAAGTCTCTGGTCCAAATAAGGCTGCCACTTGCACCTTTAGGGTGTTTACTGCTATACCTTTATTCACCCCTGCCTGGAGAAAGTCTAAGTTCACAGGGACCGTGGGAAGAGAAACACCCTTTTTCTGGCACCAACTAGTAAACACACCCCACACCTTGGCGTATATCATTCTAGTCACCTGTTTCCTACTGAGTAAAAGAGCTCTCAGAACACCTCTCAGAACACCCCCTTCTCCTAAGAATCTCCCTTTCAAGAACCAAGCCGTTAACCAAAAAACTCTGGATTGGGGTGCAGCATTGGCCCCTGCAAGAGAAGATCCTTCCTGACTGGGAGACGCTGCAGGGGAGCCACAGACCACCTCTTCAAAGAGGAGAACTAAGCTCTTCTTGGCCACCATGGAGCTAGCAGGATCAATCTGCAACTTGACAGGCTCAACTTCTGTAGCACTCACGGGATCAGTGCCAGAGGGGGGAATGCATATGCCAGCTCGAAGTCCCAATCCTGTGCTATTGCGCCTAGACCCTCAGACCCGTTCCCAGGCCATGGAGA